CACATCAAATTCAACTCCAGAAACTGGAAAAATTCTGCCAGCCCAGATGGCTGTCCTCACATTTGATTAAAGTAACATAAATATGTTTCAAACTGATAATTATCAAATGTAAAAAGTAAAATTTTATAGGCAGTTCATCCAACGGAGTGGGTTTTTTCAGTCATGGTATGTATTTATGGATATTACTTATTGCTAGAATGAGACAGGGCTCAGCATCAATATTAGCCATTTTATTATGTTTATAGCTATGAACACTGAGCTGTTCCCTTTACAAAAATATTATCAATAATTAATAGCTATATATGCTTACTATATGTTGGGTGTATCTATTTTTATACTTATTAACTCATGTAATGATTACAGTACGTCAGCTCATTCTCAAATACTGGCTCATTTATTTATTGAAATCTGTAGGTAGTGTTTTCCATCCCCATTTTATAATTTGTACATTATATCTCTGCATCAATTTCCTCATTTATCAGAAGGAGATAATGACAACACCTTGTAGAATGGACTGGGAGAGGGTGGTGGGAAGGGAGAGCAGGCATGAGGGGCCTTCAGGTGGGTCGGTTTTAGGAAACAGCACCAGGGAAGTTAAGCACTTGCACCTGCTGATGCTGGGCAGTCTGCTGACAGCCCTCGCTTCCCTTCCTGGGGTACATCCCCATCTGCAGAGGGGGCATCGACGGACTGAATTCCAATCTGCTTTCACCTCCACTGGCTCCATTAGCCACTCACTGTACCACTCTCCACGAAGAACTGCCACACACAAGCAGTAACAAACTTTATTACTTCAAGTTTATATTTTATAGATACAACTTATGGGAGGAGAAGAGATGTTTTAAGCAGCTTAAACACCTAAGGAAAATAAATCTGACAATGTTTCTGAGAATTAGCAGTTTCGAAGAAAGAAACTCTTAGCGATGGTTGCTTCTGGAGATAGCGGTAAGGAAGAAATTTAGTTTTTACTGTGTATCCTTTGTACTTTATAAATATTGTACCACGTGCATAAAAAGATAAACAATGAAATTATCCACAAATAATCTGTGCATAAAAAGATAATGTAATCCTCTGCAGAAAAATTAGTGCGAATGCAGTATTGTATTTCCTACGAGTCTTTTCTTTATTCATATGATAAAAATCTCTAAATTATTTTTGCATACTGTACACCAAAATAAATTCTTGACTCTTGATGAAATAGCCAATACAAAATATGAAATAAGAAAAGAAAATGAAAAAAAAAAAACATAGATGAAGATACAACTCATTTCAAGGTAGTGGAAAGGTTTATCTTATTTTATTTTAACATAAACAAAGAGTAAGAATGTTTTGTTTTTCTTTTTCTCATAGAAGTTGTGTTACATTAGAAAAATGAGCAAAAAACCCAGCAAAATACATTTTATTTAGTCAATTTTCCCAGCGTCAGTTTTGAAACAGTCTTCTTCATTTCCAAATGAGTTTTGATGCTTTGTTTGCTCATTTAGTTGCTCTGTATACTAAGATTGACAACTGTTGCTGTTGCTAAGGGCTTATTTATCTACAGAGAGGATAACGCAGCCACAGAAAAGATTACACATTTATAGAAAGGATTTAAGGCAGAATAAAAAGACATAACGTGCTAGGTTACCTTAAAAAATAAAAGCCAGAGAAGACAGAAAAACGGAATGTAGTCATAATAATGGTGCCTAGAATGATGCTAAAAATAGATACAGTGGCTAAAAATAAGCCATAATCTTGGTTCTAAATTTTCTAGCCAGGAAACAGAGAAGCGCAGTCAGTTACACAATTAACAACATTCCCCGCAAACTCCCCCAAAAGGAACAGAATAGTTGTGTAGGAATAGGACCATATTTGGAACTAGCTTTAGAAGAAAATTTCTCCCCCAGGTAGTGGATATAAAAACATGGTGATGCACCAAAGCACCAAGCCATAGATGATACAGGGTTGATCTGTACCTTCCCATGTGCTCATCTGGAAGGATCTCCAGCAGACATCCTGTTTTGAAAAGAATCTTTCCATTTGACTGTTGGACTTCTTTGTTATTTTCCTTAATTTTCTTTTCCTCCTTTTTTTTACTCTCCCCCCCACCCCCCTCCTCTCTTCCTCTCTAGCCTCCTTCCTTTTCTTTTTTTTTTCATACACTGGGTGATCACCCATGTAACCCCCCACCCCCACCACCCCCACCAAGTATTAAGGGCATCAGTGTATTCATCAGCGCATTAGTCTGTAGATTTTTTTTTCTTCTTTGCTGTCTTTGGGAGTTTTTATAGATAGTGTGCCTTCATTAAAATGAACATCGAACGCTTTCTTTTGTTTTCTGTGCCCTGAAGCTGGTTAGTTAGCGTTAGAGGTAACCACGCCGTGAAGACTTGGTAGACTGAAACCTGAAATCATCAGTCTTCCACAGGAGGGAAAGACAGGTGGTGGTGGTGACGACAGGTCTTTGACAACTTTTTTTTCCAGATACCTGGTCTAAGTTTCTTTCTTTTATAGGCAGTTTTGGTAATTTCCGTTGTCCTAAGAAATCATCTCATTTTCAAATTTAATTGCATATGTATATCTTTCAGTTTCCTCTTTATCTGTGCTTATTTTCTCATTTTAATGTCTTAGTTCATGTATTTGTACTTTTTCCTTTTTTTCTTGTTTAGGCTAGCTATTGCTTTTTCTATTTCATTGTTAGTTTCAAATAATCTGCTGTTTTATAATTCATTAATTTTGGACTTTATTTTTAAATTTATTTGGTTTATATTTAGTCCGTTTTGAAAAAAAAACTTTTTGAGCTCGATAATTCATTTATTTAAATTATTTTTATTTATCAAAATAACTTTTTAATGTTTTACATTCAATGAAGAACAACTTCTATCTCATACTCTAGGAAACCATAAGTCATTTCATTCTCTTCTCACTCTTTGTAAACACTTGCTTGGGACCCGTAAGCGTCTTAGTTACGTCTTTCAATGCTAAAATATTTAATCTAATCGAACCTTTACTTCCTACCTCATGGTGTTCCAACTACATAATCATAAGCTATTACAGATTGAAAGAATCATTTTTTCATCATCAGGAAGAGGTAGTTTTTATTGGTTTGCAATCAACAATTGTTCCTTCCCCACTGAATGCACGATGCCACTGTCATACAGAGGATGTTATAAAAGCTCCCTTCTGCCTCACCCCAGTGACCTTTGATACATTATTCCCAATATTATTCTCACCCAGTCAAACATTATTTGAACATCTGAGGAGATCCTAACCAAGAAATCCCTGATATAATCAGAGAAAATCACAAAATCCTTCTGCAAGAGGTCATACCCACAGGGATTTCAGGAAGAGAAACCCAAACCTTAATAGACAGAAAAAGAAGAGGCACATTCCCAGATGATTCAACATTTCCTGCTGCTTTTATAAAAGCACTTTTACCTGTATACTACCAAGCAATCTTTAACAATTGATTTTATATGAATTAAACATTAACTTGAAAAGAGCCACGTTTTGCTAATTATAAAAAGCAGAGAATAATCTCCTGCTCATGTGAGCCTATTTCCACCATATTGCCATCTGATGGCAGCACACCCCCAATCACAGATTCTGTTTTTTTCTATGTTTCAGATCAAACTATACTACTGAATTGATGATCAGTGCAATGTCCATGTGTAGGGCATCTGCTGTTTCTCCTCAATGGGAATCAAAGATTCGCAGCACAGCCCATTCTTTCAAGGAGCTCACAGTGCACAGAGGGAGACGGGCATGTGTGCAGAGAGGTTTAGTAATGGTGTCCAGTGTTTATTACAGGAGCCAGAGGAGGGGCTTTTAGCCTAACACGGAGGTAAGCAGATAATGCCGGAACTGAGTTTTAACATGCCTGAATCACTGAGATTAAAATAGGAAGTAAAGTGGTAAATACCATAGAGAGGATAAAAGGGCTAGTTTGTATAATGAAGAAAAGAGGTCTATCGAATCAAAGGAGGGGAAAGCAGCTGTACATTTCAGGCCAGATTAGTTCACTAAACATTACATATTTTTGAATATCTGTGTGCCAGACACCCATCTACATA